CACGCAAACGGTTTTGCCAGCTTGTGATTGAGGTTTTAATTTCCTGTATATCACTTTGAACTTGTTTCATAGATTCTATTTCTTTTCTAAATTGTTTATTCAGGGGTTCCATCATTTTTATATTCTCCTCTATTTTTTTGTCAGTGTATTCTTTAGAAGCACTTAGTACTTCTTTGATTATAGTTACAACTACATTTTTTAGTTCCAAAATTATTTATTGTATACCTTTCTGCAATTGATTTTTTACTGTCAACGCTATTATTTCAGAGATATCTGGTGTGTGATTTCCAGTTTCCTCAGTGCTAGTGTCTTATGCATTTGTACTGGGTGGACTCGGGGCCTGAGACTGCATTTTATTCCTTCTCTTTGTCATTTTGTATACCTGTCTTCTGATCTTTGGTGTAGAGCTTAGGTAGAGTTATTATTACCTTAGCACCAGGTCCGGATCTACGAAGTTCGGATTCCTCCAGGTGGGTGTTGTTTGGATTTGGCTGCTGTGCTCCACTTCTTTCTGCTGCAGGTGTTAGAGTTGAACCCTTTGTGTCTCTCTGGCAAGATGTTCTGCTCCTGAATCAGCTGGGTGGGTCTTGCCTCAAGCCTCTTTGCAGGGAGTTCTGCTGAAGGGTTCCTTGCTGGGCCTGCAGCCTGGGTCGAATGAGGATCTAGCGGTCCCCGGGTCGTCTCACTCACTCCCCGGGCCTGCAGCCTGGGTCAAATGAGGATCCTGGGCCCGGGATGCCTCATTCACTCGCCAGGCCTGCGCTCTGGGTCTGTTCAGGATCCCGCGGCCCAGTCGTCTCACTCACTTGCCGGGCCTGCGCTCTGGGTCTGTTCAGGATCCTGCGGCCCTCGGTCGTCTCACTCACTCCCCGGGCCTGCGCTCTGGGTCTTTTGTCTTGTAAGTATTCAAAGGTAGCATTTTCTGCTTGGCACTGTGTTTCTACACCTGTCCTGACACACCCACTCAGAGTAGGGTTTGCCACACCCTAATCTTTTGCCTCATTCTTTCTCCCCCCGCCCCCCGCCCCCGAACCAGGGATTGAACTCTTAGACCACGGAGCTATCTCCCCAGCCCATCCTGCCTCTTCTTCACTACCTTACTTCTGCTTATCCTGAATTAGGGAGCATCTTTCTGTTTTTTTGATGTCCTTTTCAGAGTACTATACTTCTTATTGTGAAGGTCCTTTACTTCCTCTCATAGATTAAGTCCTAAATAATAGTTAATTTTTCTTGAGGCTGTTGTGAGCAATTATTTCCCTCTCTGACTGTTGCCTGCTGTGTGGAAGGAGTCCCATTGGAGCAAAATCTCTCTCTCTCTGTCTGTCTGTCTGTCTGTCTGTCTCATGCATTTGGAACAGGGTCTTACTACGCAACTCGGACTCTTAGTGATCCTCCTGTTTTCAGCCTCCTCAGTGCTGAGATTACAGGCATTCTCCACTGCGCCTGGTCTCAGTAGCTGGCTTAGCATGCCTGGGGACGGGGCCAGCATGGCATGTGGTGCTGGGGAAATAGGTACTTAGTCCACTGAGTTATCTTGCTGACCCTGTTTTTGTTTATTGAGACAGAGTCTTGCTGACTGGCCTTGAACTCAAGAAAATACTCTTACCTCAGCCTCCCAATGCTGGGATCACAGGTGGGCACCACCACGCCTGGCTACATGCCTTATATTTTAAAGAAAATATGAGAAAAAAATCCTAAGCCACACACGTTGCTCTAGCTTTTATCCTTTGTATTTGCAACTCACCATATGAAACATTTTTCTACTGTCCTTCCACACCTCCCCTACTTCTGCAGGCTGCATTTGTGCCTTGGCCTCCTTTTTGCTTTCCATGGCAAAGTCAACAATGCCATCCAGGTACCAAGGACAGGAGCCACCTGTCTGGCGTTAGCTGGTCGCGCTCAGGAGCACTCATCATCCTCCTTCGAACCCCAGGTTCTCCTGCTTCCTGGGATTCCCACCCTCCTGATTTCTTCCTTCATGTTATTCTTTCTCCTTTTTTTGTTTTGTTTTCTTTCATTTTATTTTATTTTGAAAAGTGAAAGCAAAAGCAAGAACAAAAATCAGAAACAGAGCAACGTACAATACATATGTTACAGATTTTCAAACAACGAATAGTTGATATAAAAATGATTGATATATTACCTATCTTTATCATCAGTCTTTTGCTCAGATTTTTAGTTCTTTCTCCTTCTCCCCACTTCTGAGTGGTGGTACACACATTGCATTTGCTTTAGAAATTTTAGATTTTTCTGTATGGCTCAGTTACCAGTATGTCAGATTCTTTTTCCATGCTTGGATATTTATTTATTTATTTATTTATTGCAGAACCAGGGATTGAACTCAGGCTCTTGCACTTACCAGGCAAGTGCTTATTCCGCTGAGCCATCTCCCCGGCCCCAAGGGAATTTTTCTCCTAATACTTTTGTGAACATGTTTTTATGTCATTTGTGTTGTCCTTCTTTTTCATTGACTCAAAGCAAAGTTATGTTGTTCTTACTTGCATCATCTTACAGTTGTTGGATTTTTCTTTATGCTTCCTTGCTAGTTTTAATAGATTTTTCTTTTCATGATAACTAACTGTAATCCTGTCTTCTGTGTCTGCTACTCTGTCTTTACTTTCTTTAATACAAACATTGAGTGGAATTTTTTTTTTCTTTTCTTCTTAGTATTTATTTTTTCCCATGATTTTATTGATAAACAAATAGCAATGAGACAGTTGCAAATCAAATCAGTAGGACAGTTTCAATAATTAACACACTGCATATATTCTTCCTAGTGGTTAATTGCTGTACAAGAATCATTCTATTCATTAAGAGAATGTAACTATATATCTATCAAAACCACTTTGAATGCTTATTACTTCTTGCCTATATCTTGTAATATGAGAAACTGCTTTGGCAGTAACAATTCACAATGTACTAACCATTGTTACTCTCCTAAAGTCTTGTTTTGAGATTTTGTACCACTGTTTTTATTTTTTTTCTTTCTTTAAAATAAAAATAAAGCAAAAAAAAATTTTTAAAAAAAAAAACCACTTTGAATAAACAGATACAATCATCTGTATACCCTTTTTTTGTTAAGTTCCGTTATTTGAATACTATAGGTGTGTAAACTCAGAAAAATATTCTAAAAGAGTCCAGTAGCCCATAATAGTATTGGATCTTCCACTTGACTGGCTCTGTCAGAAATTGTTGACCCGAGTCCCCCACAGCTCAACATAACAGAATGGCTTTATTTCATATATTTCGCTTTTATACTTTTCTGCTGGATGGCCAGGACCAAGGTAAAGGAGGACCTATGCAACAAGAGTTGTAGCTTTTGGGTCTGATAAGGTCAGTGAAATCCCCTCAGGATTTATCCTGAGATCCTGTACCTCAGATTGTAG